AGCCCCAGTTGGTTCAAAGGGGGAGTTTGCATTTCAGAAATGGTGAAATGTTTAGATGATAAGCTTGTGTTTTGTTTTGTTTTCTTTTCTTTTTCCATCCAGCAAGATCAGGTCAATTATTTCGAGTTTGCTCTGGACCAGCTTACTTCTGTTCTAAGCTTTTGTTTCTGATTAATGAATTAGTATTGACTTGTTAATATTAATGTGGCTTTTAAAAGTCATACTGGCTGTGTTCAGCCTGGAGAGCTGAAAGGAAACTAAAATTTCTCTGTAATTAAATGGATGTTCAAGTAAACTTTTTTCCCCAAGCATGGTGGCTTATTGGGAAATAGTAATATTTGGTTGGTTTGGGAGAATCCTGTTTTGCCTTGCTGAGGTTGCTAGTCCTGCTGCTCAGACAAGATGTGCCATCTCCTGGGACAAGAGATGTTTTCTCGATATTCTTCCTCGATGTTTTCTGTGGAGCTTTGTCAAAACCCATTCGGCTGCTGTTGCCCACCCTGTGCTCGAGTACAGCCGAGCAAGGCCCGCTAGCGGCAGGGCTGCAGCCCGGAGCAGCTCCTGCCGGCTCTGCATGAAGGCTTTGCTCTAGCCACATTTACGAGCGGTGGACCCGAAACAGCTCTTGTGGTTTTCTGCGCTTTGTGAAAACAGGCGGCTTTCAGCCTGTAGGATTTCACCAGTTTGCTTTTACCAGCTAGCAAAGCACCTCTCTCCCAATGCACCAGCAGCTGCACTTCCCTGGGGGGTCAGCTCGGGGCTGTGCTTTGCAGGGCAGGCGCTGCAGCAGGAGCAATGACGGGTCTGTGGCACCCAGAGAGAGCACACAGCCGGGGCTTCGTGGTGGGGAGCCGGGGAAAGCTGGTCTGGGAAAGGAGAGAATAACTGCTTCCAGTTGGCCCGTGATTATTGCACGGAGCTGGGAGGTGGCAGCTGAACTTTTTCAGGTAAATGCATCCTTCAGGCTTGCTTGGTGCAAGTCTTAACCTGGTCCTGCTTGTAAATGTAACATTTATTTTCCCTCTCAGCTCTGTGCCCCTCTATTGCCTCAGGAATAAAGCAGTAATGAGGCACGTAACCTAGACAAGGTCTGGTGCAGGCCTCCACTGGGGCTGCATTTATTGAATTGTATTGATTACTCAGCAAGCCGTGTAGGATTGCTTCATGAAAAAACCTGTCTTGCGTGATCTGAGGGGGTAATGTTTGGACTGAAGCCATTATTAAGCCCGTGACTTCAGTAGAAAAGACAAAGAAATAAAATTTCCAGAAAATTTTAAGATGGGGAGAAGGGAAATGATTTTTTTTTTTTTTGGTCGTTGATGTCATTAAAAAAAAATATTTCTCTGTTCCATAGGAAAAAGGAAAATTAGAGGGGATGATTGAACCATCTGCAGTAACTGTGTGCTGGGGAACTCAGCCTTTTCTTAGAAGCCCTAAGAATGAGATTATGCGACCCGTTTAGCACATGGAAAAAATGAGAGATGTTTCATTAAAACCATCATAAATTCTTTGTATCCGGCTAATGATGAATATAGCTATTTTTAATTGATAAAACAGTGCTGCCCCTGAAGGTGTGCAGATGTATCTGCTGGCAGAGCTGTAAAACACAAAAATGACTCTGAAAGTAGAAAGCATCAGTAACACAAACTTATAACCAAAGTAGCTGGAAAATTGTGTCTACAGTGCTCAGGAAGAGTACGTAAATTGAAACCTAATGTTCTGGTGCAAACAGAGAAGGCATTCATATTTCTGGAGACGCACACAGGAAAATAAGCGTGACATCCTCATATATATTTATATATACCTTTTTATCATGTAATAGTTTAAAATGCCACATTATTAAAGACTAACTGTAAATTTTCCCTGCAGTATATAAGATCTGTAATTACCTCGAGCTATAGGTTGGAAAATAAAGGCTTGACATATTTTACTAATAAACAGAAAGCAGTTGGGAGAATTAAAATGCAATATCACTCCAAGCATTACCCTATTGATCAGGCAGAAAAACATTTACAGTGTAAGCGGCTCTCATTTTTTCTTTTTTTCCCCATATTTTTTTTTTCATTCCAGATTTCTTCCTCCCTCCTTTTTCACACTTTTTTTTCTTTTTTTTTCCTGGAAAGTTTTCTAAGGCTTTTTGTGTGTGTGTGTGTCCAGAGCCCGACACACATAGTCAATTATTTCTGCCATCTAAAATTTGAATGGAGAGCCCAACAATTTTCACCTCTCTTTCCAAAACCTTTATTTCTGCTAGAGAAAAGTTGCAAAATAGTTACCTTCCTTTAGCTGGCACAATGTTTGGAAGCACTGCAATTGTTTTCTCTGCATCAACATCTTCATCCCACTGCTGCTGGTGTCCCTGCCCAGGAGCCAAGCTGCTCCCAGCCGCCTTCTCTCTGCAGCTTGCCCCATCCTTTGGCAGCCCCCTGCTCCCTGCTCTGGTGGGAACTCGGGCTTTCCCTTTCTCTCAACCCTGACCCCAGCCTCAGTCAAGGCTCCCAGGCGCTGCCCAGATGAAACGTTTCTCACCGACAAGTTCCCCTTGCTCCCCGCAGTTTCCTTTGGCAGCCTGTTGTCACCTCGGTGATGATGACTAAATCAGAAAATCAGCATCTGCAGGGAAAAAAAGAAAAAAACACAAAAAGAGTTTCAATCTGCGGATATCGAAAGTCCGGACAAGTGGGCTTTTATTTATTTATTTTCAGAAGTTTCTGCTGGGCAGGTGGGCACCTCTGCGTGGACGTGGCAGCAGAGACCAGAGCCCGCCCTCCTCAGCTGGAAACCACGCGTGGCCTGAGACCTGCAAGCAGCTGCTCTGCTGGCCATAGCGTTACCAGAGCGCTGTGTTGGCAGGCGCTGCGTTTTAACCACGGTTAATGAGAGTCATTTGTACACTATTCGTGAGCAGGTTCAGAAGGTCGCATGCAAAAGTCCTTCGGGCTCCTGTCTCCCTGTAGTCGCCTGTGTGCAGAATGGCAATTTCAGCGTGTTCCCGTGCCAGACAGGACTGTTCAGGTCAACTCTGATTCCTGTGCTGGAATCGTTGGTGTTGGTGGATGGGAGACTGGAAATTTTTAGTAGTTTGACTGCCCTGCACGGATAGGATTGCTTTTGCACTTGTGCCAGCAATAGGGAAGGTCAAAGTCTTGTGACTTGGATGGGCAATTCAAATACGGCTTCATCCTGTGTGATGACCCTAAAGTGCTCTGGTTTTGTTGTGTAACTTATTTAAAAGGAACCTACATTCTACGTCACTCTGGGAATAAAAATGTTCTAAATATTTTTGGTTTCAAATTCCAAAAAAGAGAGGACTCCTGCTAGCAGGACTAAATTAGCTTAAACCAAGCATGACCATTGACTGCTTCCCTCTTGGATGCACAGTATGGTATTTAACCATCACTGCTACTCACGGAGTTCACCACTGGTACAACGGGTGGGCAGTCCTCCCTGTGTCGTGACTGAAGTCTGGAATCACATAAGGGGATTCCCGACCAGTACAGTGCATCCCGAGATGTTTCCTTACTGGTAGGACATATGGGGGTGTCTCTTCGGTCCATTAGCCTCAATCTACTTGCAAAAGACTTTTGATTAGACACATTACTTAAAGAAGAGCCCTTCCTTTTCTACACATTTCAATGATACCTGATGCTAACAAGTAGGACTTGTAAGTGGAAAGTTTTTTGCTTGTTCTGGAAAGTGAAGTGCAAGCAGAGAATATCACAGAGCAATGTTTCTGCAGAGAATATCACAGAGCAATATTTCTTTTTTTTTTTTTTTTTAATTACTTTTCCCCCCTTCAGCAGTATCTCAGTTCAGTGTAGTTTCTTGTTGTAGGGGGGATGCGGAGGCGTGCTGCTCTCTGTGCTGGGGCTGTGACCTGCTTGTGTGTATCATGACCAGGCTGGTGCATGGTTACAATGGGAAGCAGCTCTGATGCCCAGAGCAGCAGCACAAGGGCAGGTTTGTGATATGGCAGCTGTCAGGAGGCTGCAGCACTGTGGCAGAATATTGTAAAGGCAATGTCCATGGGGGCTGAGAACAGATGTGCCTTGCTTCTAGGCTGATAAGGGGGCTGAGAGGTGCAACTTTGACCAGGTTAGCCATTAACAATAAAAGCCAGAGGATGAACATGAGAGAGCAAGAGACCTCTGAATATTGTGTGCTACCCTGGTATTGAGTCCTTTCAAAGGCTTTATTTTCTATCAGTATGATCTCTGTGGTGGGACTGAACCTTTGGGGATGCAGTAATAGCATGTTACCCTTCTGCAGCTCCTTCCTCTAGGATTCTCAGAGCATTTCAGAATAACTGATTTTCCTCATGCTTTTGGGAGAACAAAAAGGTGGGTATCATTTTTTGCATCAATTTTACATTTGGGGAAAGGAGACCTGAATACCTATCAGATATTTAGAATTACAGATATTAATTAATTAATATCTCGTTCTGTCTGATCCGTGATAGTTAAGACTGTCTAGAAGGACTGTAGCTCCTGCCTCTTTCTTCTGCAGCTTGACACGGCACACTGAGATGATTCAACTGCTCAATATAGGAAAAAAAAAAAAAAAGAAAAAAGAAAAAAGCCTCATAGAAAGGGAATAGGTAGGGAAAGACAGAAAGATGTGGGAGCTGAATTGGCTTACTGTGCGGGCAAGCAGTGAGCTAGTGAAGAAGGAAGTGGGACTTTATGGTAGCATTTGGCCTTTTGATCACCTCTGTCATATGGCTGAGGTGTAGCTAATGGGGCTGCACTCTAGGTTAAGAACCATTTTATTTTCTTGACTCCCTCCCCATGACCCGGGACAGGGTCTTTTTGGCAAACAGTGTGCAAAGCTCACAGTGAGACCAGGTCTGGTGGTGGTGCTGGGAGTTAGAGCTGTGGCATGAGTAATCGTTGGATAACTGCATGTGAAGAGGGTAACATCTGAAAAAAACACATATTCTTCCATGTTTATTTTAAATCTTGGAAAAGGCAAATGCGTGTCTCTCTCTTCTCTCTTGGCAGAACCAGCTCCTTGCGAAAGGCTTGCTGTTTATAGAGGAGAAGGTTAAGCTGTGTGAAGGCAAGTACAGAAAGAAACCCGTTTTGGAGTGGGCTCTTGGAGCGCCCTTTCGAATCACACTTTGATGTTTGGCCAGAGGAGATGATTTGCATGGCTGAAATGCCTGCAGCCCTGTCCGGTACCGTCTGAGAGGGTCACACAACCTCTTGGGGGCCAGGCTGCACTCAGTCTGTGCTGTTTATGGATGGTGGGCTGTTTGAATACCCATGTGGCTGAAGCCACATCAGCCATGGCTTCACCACAAGAGCAGCAGTGTGTGTCCTGAGTGACATTTGACCCTGAGCTCAAATCAGTTCTAGGCTGGACACGTATCCTGCTGCGAAACTGTGCTGAGAGCCTTCTACCTGGTATTTCCCAATGTGATTCGCAGCTCTGCAGTCTGGCAGTTTGCACTCGTGGAAGCATGATTTGGGTTACAGCAACACTGTGTCATTATGCTTTAGAGAGCTGAACCAACAGGCCTTGTGTAAACGTAAAGAAAAAACGGGCACTGGGATGGGAACGAGGTCCTTCAGTAAAGAAGCCAACCACAGATGAAGTTCTGCCCAAACCACTGGGGCACAGACGCTTGCTACCACAGAGCCCGTGGACCAAGGCCAGCTTGGAGCAGCGACTCCCGGGGGTGGCTGTGGGGGGAGTTAGTCATGCCCTGAATGCCTTCCTCAAGCAGAGAGTGCTGCTCAGAGCAAGGCTTTATTCAAAACCAGGCTGCCATCTGATTTGACCCAGTTTTGTAGCCTGTAGGGAAGATCCCTTGCTAATCGTCACCCTGCTGTATCTGGGTCATTAAATGCCAATCGATGCTTATAATTTCGTGTCATTATTGGCGCTGGGTTCCTCCACGCTGTTCTTCATCGAGGGAGCTCTCCGTTTGGCCAGCACGCTGTGGGACCTTGATGGAGCTGTGCGGTTGCCAGCCTCCTGCTTGGTGTGTGCTTCTTGGCACAGGCTCTGTAATGCAGGGAAGAAAAGCAGAATTGTGCATTTTCATGGACATGGGTGCCTGTTCTGCTGCTGCCAGCTCCTCAGAAAAGGCACCATGCAGCTTATCGTAGGTTTTGTTTTATGTGTATTCATATAAAATTGTTCTGATTTCTGCTTTAGCATGAAGAAGATCGAGTTCCAGCCTGCAATAAGCTGAGAGCAGCCCAGGAGTAGTTTGCAGCTGCTCAGATAGATTGGTCAGGATAAGATTTCCCAGGCAGACAGCAAAACCCCCTTCCTGTGCCTCATTTTTGTCCCCAGTTTAAAGTAACACCAGAGCCACTTTACCTGTGCAAGCTGGCATCTCAGCAGGAGGTGACTCTTGTCACCTTTCTTTCACAACACGTAGGCTTGTTCCAGGCCTTGTGGTCTCAGCAGCAAGAACTCGCACGCGCTTCTCAGCTTGTGCTGTCTTCCTGGAAAATTGCTCCCGTCCCAGCACTCAGTGATGGAATCATGTTCCTGCTGCAGGGCATGGCAGTGTTTCACTGTGTCTGTTTTTCAAATCTCATCCTCTTATTTTAATACAATTTTTCTTGATACAGCCTGTCAGAATCTCAATGCCTGTAGGATTAGGATTTCTCGAAGGAACAAACCATTCCCCTTCAGAAGGAAAAGGAGTCTATGCCACTTCATTTCTAGCCCCACATACCAAAGCATTACAGTCGTGGGGAGGAGGCAGAAGAGGGAGAAGGTTAAGAATTCAATTCATCTGTTTCCTGTTGTCTTTTTCATTTACGGTTGGTTGTTACGGGGGTGTTGGGTAGCTGCTTGTGTGCCTGGAGCTCCAGTTGTGAAGCTGGTGTCATATCTGAGAGATGCTTCCCTCTCAGCCCTCCTGCAGTCAGTGAGGTCTCTGCTGGAAAGGAAACATCTGCAGAAGCTGGTCCTGCTGCCTCTGCCCTCCGGCTGTGTTGTACACGACATGACCCATTGCCAAGCACACTGAAAGCCCGCATGGAAGTCTCCAGATGGGGAAAACATTTCAGCACACAGCGATAAGGCTCCCTCCAGTTGCAGTTTTGTGTGTGCTCCAGTTCCTCATGTAAGCTTGAGGCTGAGACTCCAGAGCTGCCTTGAGCAGCTGCTTCCCTTGCTGCTCCTTGAGTCTTGACTGCTTGTGAGCCCCGTCTGAGGCTCTGTGAAAGGTGTCCTGGAAAATGATTTTGCCAGAAAACTGATGTTATTAAACATGGGTCTGTATTTGCACCTGAAATTTCTGAGGGTTTTATTGAAAACTTGAAAAAATGTTGCAAAACTTTGGCCTTTGGGGTTGGAAAAATCCCCTAAAAAGCTCAGGGGTTTTTTTGGGCCTAAATGCTGAGAAACATACAGCTCTGTAACGCAAGCCTAAGAGAATAATTTAAAATGTCTATACAAACTATTATGTTCAGTAAAGCATTTTTTGTTAATAATAGGCTTTTGACCACAGTTGTATTCTTATTATGGGAGTCATGAGTTGCATAACGTAGTCTGCCTTCATCTTAAATATCCACTTACATTCGGGGATGTTTGTTGGAGGCTGATTCACAGGAGGGGTAACCACAAGTGGATTTCACTTGGGAGCCTTCCAAATTGCCACGTTTGAGAGGAGAAGCCCTGAGAGGAGCACGGTGGCTTTGTGGCTTGTCAGAGCAGTGGGGGAACAGCCTGCAGGAGTTCACGACTTCTGTGGCTGTGCTTGAGGCTGCTGGGATGCTGGAGAGGGGTTGGCTTTAATAAATGGTCCAACTCGGTTGCTGCAGGACAGCTAATGCTGGCTTTATGCACTGTTAGCATGCAGCCGTGCTAGCTTAGTCATTAGCTAATTTGGTAATTTAGAACAGCGAGATTACCCAGTCCTTTGCTGGGGAGGTAATGCCTCCTCTTGAAGTCATTCTTCCCACTTCTGTTGGAGCTGGTCTCACGTTTTGCTCGGAGCTGTCCTCTCTGCAGTAAGTGACGGAGCAATGCGTGGTTACACCCTTGTGTCCCTGTCAGCTAAGGCAAAGTTTGGGTTATGTCCCCTTTCTGGGAGGAAACTGGGAACATGAAGGGTAGGTTTGTATCTCTTACCTGGGGACACAGAGGGCAGTGGGAAAATTCAACCTGATTTTAGTTTCCTTGTTGCTAAAGCTCTTTCTTTCTCCCAATCTCTGTTTGTGTAGGTGAGGATCGCATTGAGATCCTGTCTGAAATTTGGGATCACTTCTTTACAGAGACTCTTCCAACGCTCCAGGCAATATTCTACCCTGTCCAGGTAATCTCCATTAAAATTCAGTCTTCAGGTGAAGCAATGTAACTACGATGTCTCCTAACAGTGCACCAAAGCTTCTGTTTCAGCAGTACTGTTTGTCTGGTGGCTATACAGGTCTCAAAACCTTTAAACTACATCTGGGAGGAAGCAGAGTTTGCACAAGTCAACAGTAGTTATCTGAGAAGGACTGCTAAAATCGACCAGGCCTTTTGAGCTGAGTTTATTCCCATTTGTCTGTCCATTCTCTGTTCTTAGCTAAGCTTGTACACCGAAATTATCAGGCTGTACTTTGTCTAGACTGAAGCTCTGGACCATTTGCAGTTGTAAGTTCTTCCATTGTTAAATCTCTGGAGCTCTGCATGACAGCACTGACAATTTGTCTTCAGATTTGTTCCTCTGAATACTAGAACAGAAACCAATGTGTCTGACTTGTCCAAACTACTTTTGGAGGGCTTATATCCAAGTTGTGCCTTTGGAAAAGCCTCTTAATATAGGGGCAAGTAAGCTTCTGGGTAGAGGACAAATGAACAACTTTATGTAAGACCCATTTACGTTGGATATTTTACAGCTGATTATTCCATTGGAGTTGTTGAGCTGTGTCAGTTTTTCCTGTAGTTTTGGTGAGGGTTTCCATACAAGCAGTCTGAGTACCTTCCCAGTGTATTTTGATCTTCTGTCCCATCAAAGGAGAAGCAAAAACGTACTTCATGAGTAGACATTCTGGGAAATGCTAGCTGCCTCCTCCTGACTTTTACCTGTTCCATGAGATGTGCTTTCTGGAGCCTTTTTAAAAATTTATTTATGATATTATTTTCCCCTTGTATTGTTTGAAAGGCAGCATGTAAAGCTCAAAGGTTGCCCTTTTTCTCTAATCCTATTAAAGCTGGCATTTCCTAAAAGAGCAAAGGACTTCTGTAAAGACAGACACTAACCTTTTTACTGTGTTTATTTTTATTCTTTCCTTGCTGCAGATGCTTAAAGGTAGGTGCTTGGCAGCTCAGACTGCACAATTATAACATCCTCCCTTTTTTTTTTCTCCTTTTGCAACTATCTCCCAGTCATAGAGTGACCTAATCTATTTATGTAGGGGTTTGTCTGCACTGCAGCTATCCGTGCACTGTAGAAACAGCTGAGCTAACTGTGTGTGATGTCTGCAGATGCTAATAATTCTTCCACTTATCAGAAAATCTCCTCTGGTGCTATTAAATGTCTCTAATGAGAAACTGAACAAAAACTACTGCACGGTTGGTGCAGCTTTTGGAAGTAGCTTGGTGGTGGTGGTGATGAAGCCGTGCCTATGGGATGCTGAGATTCTTTGAAGTCTTAACACAGATGCAGTAAGAAAGTCGTCAAAAAATCCGTGTCCAAACAATTTTATAGAAGCTGTGATGTTAAGGGCATATTGTTATTTTCTAAATGAGGAACTGAAAGGTTACAGACCACATATTTAAAGCTTTGCAAGTATCTAAGTCCTCCACAAATGACTTAAACACCCTAAATAAATACGTCTAAGAATCTGACTCAAAGTAAGCTGCCTTAGGCTACAACAAAGGGAACTGCTGGTGCCACGAGAAACCGAATCATGATTGCTCTTATTCCAGAGCAGTGCCCTGATAACAAGGTTGGCCTTTTCCTACAATTAAGAAACTGTATGTGCCTATTTATCTGGTGCATCACCAAGTGTAAAAAGAGGTCATCTAGCAAATCCCTTTCACCAAGCTGCAGTTCTCCATGAGCTACTCTGGTAGCTGAGGAGGCCTTTGCGTTGTTGGTTCCCCATCACCTGTGACTCCCCTGCTGTAAATGCCAACGCCAATGTCAGCGTTTTGTTGTGCCTTCTGTGATCCCAGCAACTCTCCATTCAGAATGAAAGTAAGTCAGCCAAACTTGTGAGTCTGTTACCAAATGTAGTAACTAGAAGTAACTTCCTATCTCAGCTAAGTTTAAACCTGAGGCTCAGAGCTGTTGCAGAAATATGACCTTTAAGCAGCCAAGTTGGTTAAATTGCTGTGCAGAGGGAAACTGTGTAAACAGGTCACTGACTTTTATATAGTTTCAGCTGTTGATGTAACTACCTGGTGTGGAAAAAGAATAGCAAGTCTTGTTTTGTTTGGCACAGCAAGGTGTTTGCATTCTGAAATGGGATATGAACTTAATGGGACTAAACTGCGTGATATAAATAAAGCGTGCAGCTGCTGAAATACAGTTCAGAGATATGAATCCAGTCTTTTCTACACCTTGATGATTCCAAACATGCAGCGATGGTTTAAATAGCAGAGTGCTTTCACTGTGGCCAAGCTGCCTGCCAGACCACTTGCTTTAGGTCATATTTACATATTGATGAAGCTGTTAATTATGACATTAAACCCATTATGAATTAATGATTAACTGGTGTTAATTCCTTCCAGCTAAATATTTGCCTCGGTGGTTGTGTTATGGAGACTATAAAATGGCTCCAAAAAGGAGCACAGGGCAGAGATTAACAGGCTGGAGAGAACTAGGAAAACTCTTCAGGCTGGAAAGTGCTGGGCAGGGCTGGGAGGAAAATTTCTGTGTTAAGTGGGGCAAGAGGAAGTCATACGTAGGTGAAGCCTTACAGAAGGAAAGACAAACACCAGAATGCCCAATGGAGTCCAACAGTGTCTAAGTATGCTAAGAAAAACTACAACGTCTTCATCTGTTAGCCCTGCTCACTTGTGTTGTTGATGGTAAAGGCCAAAGAACATCTTGTGGTGGAAATTAAGTTGGTTGCTTCCATTTTCTGTTCATTTTCTTTTTTTATTATTTTAAATTTTGTTGGTACAAGCAATCAAATTAGCGTTGTTCTAGCCTAAATCCTAACATCTGCAGTGGACTGCATTCTGGATTATTGTGTTATCAGCAAGGTCTAAAGTGCAGATGTTGAACAGAAAGAGGATCCAACACAGACCAGAGGTAGGCTTGGTCAAGGAATATTCTGTACCAACATCTTCCTCTACCAAATCTTTTGCGGTTTCTCAGCTCCAAGTGTCAAATGCACCAGCTGCAGCTGTCTTCAGATGTTTGTGACCAGATTTGCTGTCAGTTGGGTTTCATGAATACGCAGTCTTTTGGTGAAATACAGGTCCCTTTTTGGCTTCACTCCAAACCTCGTGGCACCTCAGATGAGGTGTTACTCCTTTCAGAATTTATGTGGGACAGAGGCTGAGTGGGAAGCTACCAAAAAGTGCCAAAAGTCCTCACACCGAGCAGCTGGGGGGCTTCACCACAGCAGCAATGGGCAGGATAGTCCTTTTCTGTCTGTATGCATGTATTTATCAGCGTGGTGCTCCCATGGCCCTTTACTAACTCTTGGGTTTTTGCCTCCTGTGTTTTTCAGGGTCAGGAATTGACTATTCGTCAGATCGCTCTTCTTGGCTTCCGCGACTTGGTGTTGCTAAAAGTGAAGTTGGAAGAAATTCTTCCTCTGGTCCAGACGAAGCTCCCAGCTTCCATTGTCCAGATGCTGTTAATTCTGCAGGTGGGGAGCCTCTCGTTTGCTTCATCTGACTCCAGTAGCGATTCTTGTCCTCACCTAGCCGAAACAAATCTTTGAAAGGAGAATGGGGAAGTCAGAGGGTGTAATGAAGGGTAAATTGTGTTCTTATTTGGGAATGGTGAACATAGAAATGAGAGCTAAATTTGAATAGTTAATGCCCTGCACTTTTCTGGAAATGGGTAAGGATATTCCTGTGGGAGGGACAGGGTCTGCTCTGTTGTGTTTGCATTTTCCTTGGTGCCTTGTCTCCCCAGCTAGGAACAGTCCCACAACTCTTATTTCCACATTGTCATCTACCAGCTTCTCCGAATGCCTCTTTGTGCCCCAGTTCTCTTGGTTTGTCAGCTTTGTAATGACCTGGTGAGTCCTACTCCAAGTCATGTAAGGATAACGTTGGCTTTTCGTGTTTGAATTTCAGAGTGTCCACGAGCCCACTGGCCCTAGTGAGGGCTACCTCCAGCTGGAAGAACTGGTGAAGCAGGTGGTGTCGCCGTACTTGGGTTTGTGCGAGGACCACAGCTTCTCTGGTGGCACCTGCTTGCTTGGTAAGATGTGTGCACCATGCACAAGCTCTTTCAAACACTCTTACTGGGGTACATATGTCAGCTAACGTGTAGAAGAGGTCTAGAAAGGTGCTGGAAAAGGAGACAGTGCATGACTACGTGAGAGAGAAAGCAAAGGCTAAAGCACTACCAAGAAGGTCCTGATTAATGTTTCTGAATGGTGTGGTTTTTATTTTCCCTCAGTGAGTGAACTGTAAAGGCCCCGCCACTGTCCACACATGCCTCTTTCTCAAGGCCGTTGGGATTTTAAAGCTGCTCTCTCTGGTCCATGCCTGATGTGCTGCCCTCACCCTCTCTTGCTGGTGAGAGATTGCACCTGTTCCTTGTCTGACTGCTCTCTGTTCCTGCTTGCTAACCTGCACTGACTGCCTCAACTCCTGCACTCACTGCTGCATCCACCACCCTTACAGCCAGCTAAATTTTTGTTTACTTATCCTGAGAGATTACACTTGTTTGTTTGTTTTTTTATTATTTATTTATTATTTATTTATTTCATGGAGTCTTTCTTCAATCTGAGGACTCTTTAAAAAGAAAATCTGTATTTAAATTGTGGATAGATGGGGCTAGGAGAGAGAACTGGCACTGCACTTCAGAAAGGGCGTGCTTACTGTGGAAAACTTTAGACATGATCCAGGAGCTCTGCTCACAATTATGCTGAGCAAGAAAGGATCGACCAGCTAAGGAATAGTTCTGGCAATCCTGGTTTGGTAACCATGAAGATTTAAATGGAGCAAGTGAAGAAAGTTCCAGTCCCCCTCCTGTTCTGTGGCACTTTATAAGCTGCAGCCTTTACTTGGATACACCCGTGGCAGCCCTAAGTTAGCTGAAGACACGCAGCCTGTCTTGTATTATGCCTCAGTAGCACAGGGTGAAGGATGGTCTTATGGCAGAAGGACTTTTCAGGACTCGAATGATCTGTGTCAGCTCTTGTAGCTGTTGGGCAAATAAATAAGGTATCTTTTATACAAGTTAACATGGTTAGATTCTTCAGCATTGAGTTGCAGACCTCATCTGAGGCTAGATCTAGACCACAAACCCCCATAAATGTTGAGCAAATTTGTTTGGCTGTTTATGGATGCCTGCATGCTGCTGGGATAGTGTGAGGTGTAGCTGCCTGACTCGTGCTGAAGCTCCTAGCCATCCTGGGTTCCTGCCAGCTGCACAAAGCACTAGTGTCATGAAACAAAAATCCACAAGAACTGGCCTTGTAAAGTTTATGTGCCTCAAAATCATTGTGCTTGCTTTGATTTTAGCTCTGATTTATTTGTGTATATTCCCAGGGTGGCCTTTTGCCCTTGCTCCACCCTGTGCTGAGCAGAAGGAAAGAAAAAAACTTGTGCTTGCATTACAGAGCATTGACAAAGAGCAGCACCTTTCTGCAGATAATCTTGTCGCTTTCAAAGTGCTCCTGTGGTGGTCGTTTCTTTTAGTAACTGCCATTTCTCATCAAATTTCTTTCTCTTTTCTCTTTCTCTCTTTCTGTCACCTTTGTGCTTTCTCAGAACGAGTTTATTCTCCCGCTGGGCAGTCAGTAGTGATGGGAATCCCATTAGGCTCCTTGCCATACAGTGGCTCTGTAGCAGCTCTTGTGAAGCCTGCAGTTGGGCCTCAGGTGTGCTTGTGGTCTCACTGGAGTCCAAACTGCCATCAGGACTGCAGCCTTCAAGATGCATGGGTAATGGGAAATGTGACTGAAGGAGGTATCTTGTCGTGGCTGCAAACAGACACAAAGCTTCGGCCTTCAAGGCTGCAGTATGTTAAACTTGATATAAACCAAGAGAGGAGTGCAGCAGGAATAGGTGTGCAAGGGAGCAGAGCAGCTCGCAGAGGGGATTCGAGGAAGGCAGCCTCCCTCAGCAAAGTCACAAATTACAAAGTCAAGATGGGGCGTGGAGAAGAATGCTGTATCCCCAAACCCAACCCAGATACCAAAGGCAGGCTGCACTCTGCCCACTTTTACCTCTGAGCTCTCTTGTTACCCCTGCATTGGCAGGAGCATCAGGGTGCAGTTGATTCAGTTGTTTTGTGTTCCTTTTGCTCTGCTGTGGTGCTCTCCTGTTACCCACCCTTCTTGCTTCTGCCATGTAAATGAGCCACAACCTGCGTTGTAAGGATGTATGCCGGGTGGATCCAGTTGTCTGAGAAACAATGTTTAAAGTACAAATGGAGAAGAAGATAAAACGTTCACCCTATTTCCCCCACATATTAAACATAATATTATTGCTGATTTGAGGTTGCCTGCAAAAATTCCTGAAAAACTGCATGACAGTTCCCTTTAGAGAGCATCTTCTGTGGCCGTTGGCAAGGTGCACAGCGGTCCCTGAGAGGTGAGATGACTTCCTTTCCTCTAGAAGCCCACGGGAACCCGAGAATTAATGTTTGAGTTTTCTGCCAGCTCCTTTGCCTTCTGCACCACGATGTGGTTGTGGCTGAACTTCAGTCCCGGAGCATAGCTCTGGGCAGTGAGGTTTGGGTACGTTAACCTGAGATGCTTTTCTCTCCAGAGGACTACTCTGAGGACGATTTTGAATGAGAAAGCTCCTAGGACAAGATCAGAGTGCGTTATGTCAGCGCTCAGCTGCTTTGTGCTGCTTTTCCTTTCAGACTTTGTCTACCTGGATGGAGTTCTGTGCCTTACAGCTCTTGTGGTGACTTGGTACGATGCATACATAGCGTTACAGAGGTGAGGCAGTGCCCCACTGCGTAATGAGATAAGAGAGAGATAAAGGACAGGTGGCTCGCAGAAAACAAAGCTGGAAGGTGTCGCACATTCTGATGCTTCTCGGCCATCGGTTCGTAGCTGGAGGTTGTGCAAGAGCTGCAGGCTGTTTGAAATTTTACAGGGAACTGTGATTGCTCTATCAAGCAATTAAAGGGGGGAAAGTAAAGCAGTAAATGTATATTCAGAGCTTAGCTTAATTTTTATCTGGCTCTCATCATAAAGGATTTTACCTTTGTTGCACAAAAATCACCGGTGAAAGGCATTGCTTAATGCCTTTGCTGTTGTGGGGAGAAAATACCACACGTGGATGCATGTTCACCCTGATTCATGGGTGGTTTTGCAAGCTCAGCTGCAGTGTGCCTCCTCTGCCCTTGCGGTGTATCTGGGTTACGGTGGTTACTTCAGCCTCACGGAGCTCAGGGCCTTTGCTTTATTTTGCACACAGCAGGCAGCACAGCGCGCCTGTTCCCGTGCTGCTATAGGTTTTGGGGGGAAGAGTGCAAACTGCTGCAGTAGGTGATGGAGCAAGGGACACTTGTTGACCATTTTGCCACAGAAGCCAGAGATGTAGCAGCAGAGGATGTCAGGACCAATTTTCCAGTGTACGTGCCCACAGGGTAGCCAGGCTGGGCAGGAGTAATTAAATGTTATTGCTTCCTTCTCTGTGCTCGCTCTCAGTGGACTTTAATCTCTCAGGTTATCGGGCTCGGCTGTTTCAGCAGCACTAAAAGTTTACACACAAGCTGGCATTTTTTTTCTCACGGGAATATTTTTATTTATTAGGTGAACATCAGGCCATGGCCATGATTTTTCTTTTCCCTGTGTATCCCAGCTTTTTGGGGAAGTGCTGCAAGCTGTCTCTGTTTAAATGAAGCATGTTTTCCTATTTAAATGTGCTGTTTAGGAACAGAGAAGAGCAAAGATTTTGCCTTTGCCTGCAAAACCTTCAGTGATGGAGTCCGGAGAATGGGCAGCTTGGTGCATGGCTCAGTTCAGCTGAATCTCCTCAGGCCTCTCTCGCTAGCCAAGAAACCTCTGCGCAGCTGAAGGCAAGGCAGGACAGGCAGAATGGAAATGTTCATTTGTGGAATGGGGCATTGTGATGAACACAACTTTAGGAAGCTACTGGCCTCCCTTTAGCCTCTCAGCCCCAGAGCTGAGCAGGTCTGGGTCTGGCAGTGCCGGTGCTCAAAACCTCGTCTGTTCATTCTCTGAAGTGCAGCATGAACCAAACCATCCTAATGAGCACGGCTGAGAGCAGCAGGGTGAAGCTTTGTCATCGCCTGGCTGCTGCCAGTGGTGGGGTTTTGGCTGCTCAGCCATTCCTCCCTGTAACAATCCCAAGTTTGTTTTCTGCCTTTCTCACTGATGCAAGCTTCCAAAACTGTTTCATAACCTTCCGCGATGAGTGCTCTGCTTTGAATTTTGTTACTGTCTCTTACGCTTTGCGGTCTTGGGGGAAGTATTGTACGTAGTCTGCAAGGCTTCTGACTTCAGGAAACGAGACCCTGTGCTTCAAGGAAGTTGGTGAGATGCACACGCAGGCTGGGAATAGCTTTGTCAGCTGCCCTGGGGGCAGGTCACTGGGGTGTTCAACACCACACGGCGATGCTGCGTGGCGGTGGCAGACAGGAGGTGAGAAGTGATGCTGTCTGATTAAACCTGCCAGGGGACCCAAGGCAAAAACCCAGATGCCAGCTTTTCTTAAAATTTTCAGTGTCAGAACTGAAACAGCGCTCATGAAGCGGGGCTGGGGACCATGCCTGGGGCTCAAGTTTTAAACCAAGAGACTCATTTGTCCCCCTGAATGGTCTGTCCCCCCTCCAGGCTGTTGTGCTGTGCACTGTCAGGTGTTTTCAGTGTCTAGCCCCAAATGCAGGCGTGTTTCAGAAGTGGATGAAATATTCTTTTCCTTGTGTGATCTTTAAAAAAATGCAGTGGGATCTGCAGCAATTTTTTTTTTTTTTTAAATTGCAGTGGGGGGCATTTCCTTACTGCAGGAGAGGCAGCCCTCCTTCCCAACTCCCTGGCAGGATGCCCTGCAGAGCATCTGAGCAGTGGCACCAGGATGGCAAACTCAGCGTGGCTGCAAGCTGAGCGCTCTCCGTTCCCTGCGGCCAGCCCCGCAGCTCAGACAAGGCTTTGCCCGAGCCCTGCTGATGGTTCCTGCTTCCTTCTTCTCTTCCAGAGCGGCGCTACTCCAGGTCCCGTCCCAAGGCTGGCGCGCTGAGCTATTCGTCTCACCTGGTGACGAGTCGGCAGCCCAGCGAGATGGCCCTGACGCCGCTGACAGAGCAGGAGGGGGAGGCTTACCTGGAGAAATGCGGCAGCATCCGGCGCCACACCGTCGCCAACGCTCACTCGGATATTCAGCTCCTGGCGATGGCCTCCATGATGCACACGGGGATGGTGATCGAGGAGTCAGACAGCAGCGACAAATGCCTCCTCCTGCAGCCTAGCTTCAGCCACAGGCAGTGCTCCAGCGAGCCCAGTATTGCTGACGGGCCTGAGGCGGTCATGGCCGCAGGGAGGCAGGACTCTGCAGAGCTGAACTGCACCTCGGTCAGCTAGAAGTCTGGCTGAGGAGAGGAGGACTGCGTGCACTAAGCTGGACAAACAGTCTTGTCCCTGCTGGGGAAAGAGGAAAACTTGTGTTTGCTCCTGTCATTGAAACGGCCTCGTGGGACCTAATGTCTGTTTGGGAATGCTCGATTTGTTTTTCTTTCCTGTCTGTGATCGTTGTTGACAGAGGTACCAGCCTGCTCCCGAACGAGCACTGAGGGCTGCAAAGCTGAGCAGTTGCAGCCTACTTTATATAAGCTTTTGTTCTGTACTAGCCCAAACCTCCTGAGCTCAGGTTTCCTTCTGTTTCCCTGGTATGATATAAGTTAGCCCCTTTCTGCTTTTCTCTGTCTTTCCTGGTTTCATGCTACCTGTTTGCTCTTTGCTCCTGCAGTAGAAAGCCCCATGCTGAATGCTCTGGCTGCTTCTGGCACTGGAGTGGGAATGGCTGAGGACTGCATTTTTTTTTTTAAGTTGATCTCAGGGGTGAAACAACTTGTGTCTTGCAGTAAGGTCTGCTCAGATGGCTTGTGAGAGAAGGAGATCCTTTGCTTGCCTCCCATGGGCATGGGTTTCAAGTCCAAATCTGAAGAAACCAGATTTTTTCCCCCCGTACCTGAACAGAAGTGAATATACGTGGCATCTCAGACGAGCACTTCAAATGTACTTTTAGTTCCAGTAATGTCTTTGGGGGGTGCTGGTGTAAATTGGATGCAAAGGAGGGAGGTGTAAATTAGGGACAAAATACAGTCCTGAGCATCCTGGCACTTGGCATTAATTTTCTCTCCAAATTTTGGCAGTGGTAGGGCTGCAATGAAAGGAAAAACCTAAACGGATCCCTTCAGAAAGGCAGTGCTCAGCAGTGTCTGCACTCCTGGTGTGGGAGAGAACTGAAGGCTCTCCAGGCTGGGCCGTCCCGGTTCCAGCCCAGAAGGTGACGTGCAGGATTTCATCCTTGGCTGCGCTGCTGCTCCCGCCACGTGCAGATTTGGTGAGACCGAAGACAACCAGCGGGGTGCAGAGAGGAGCCCGTCTCTGTAGGCCATTCGTGAAGTGCTTCTGACCTCCAGTGGTGTCTGGCTCAGTGCAGCCTGTCTCTGAAGGTAAAGCGAGGGCTGTTTGCAGCCTTTGTTTCTGGTTTTGTTCTGAGGATCAGGAGTGGGTCCAGCTTGGCAGTGTCTGTGTGTGCCAGGCGCTGCAGCCCGCAGTGCCTGCTGTGTAGCCCCACTCGGCGCTCACACGCTGCTTCTGTGGGAACAGACCCGATCTGTTCGAGCAGTCCCCCAGGATGCTCTGCTGATGTCTTGCTAAGCAGATCTGCAAGTGTAATTACGGGCTTAGAGGTGAACTGAAACGCTGCCTTAAACGTCAAATCCCATTAAAAAATATGGACATAACACCAGTGCCACTAGAAACCAGTCCCTGTGCTACTGACTGCGCATAAATCTATCCTGACAAGGAAACAGAAGGTTAGGTGGAGAGCCTTCAGGATGTTTCTTTTTCGCACGCTATGCCATCAGTTAGAGTTTGCCCTGCTGCTGGTGGGCATTAAGCACCTCTGCTGCACTGAATCACAGAATCACAGAATTTCTAGGTTGAAAGAGACCTCAAGATCAAAAGGACAGCTCAGACCCGTCAGGAACTGGCCTCAGGAGCACATGCAGCAAAACACAAGCAGGTGATTATTTTGTAACAAAGCATCTGAAATAGCAAAGTGTCGCTGAGCATCAGCTCGCACTGATAAATAAAGGTGTTGCTTTGCTTCCTGTGGTTTGCAAGCCTTGAGATACTTGCCCGGGCCTGCGTTTTTCTGCAGTCACCTACGGCACCCTCGCTACTGGCCTCTGTGGAAACGCAGCACTCTGACCGCCAGCTGTGCCGACATGCTGAAGGACAGAGATTCAGCCGAGCTGCCTGCCTCCTAGGAGGAGCGCACACATTTTGGGGGTGCAGGAAGACGTGGCTGTAACCAGCCTTTCCTTTAGGGGGATTCTAGGTGCAACTTCCTGTTTCTGAACTGGACTGATCAGGCCAACTTATTTGATGTTGTCTCTTAGCTGTGGGGGGCCACGTGGGGAAGTGGCATCCTCGCAGCATTTCAGTTCATTCCTACAAATGCTTGTCTTCTCTTTGCTTCTCCTCTCCTTCCCCTTCTGTAAATACCCAAACCGTTCGGATAAGTGAGCAGCGCCCTCTTTTATGATGAAAATAAGAATGATTTATTTATTTCCTGCCATACTCTTGGATCATCTCTAGGGCTAATAGGAATCCAGTCCTGGTTTTAACTTGAATTTCTTTTATTGTACATGTATGTGTAATTTGAGTTATTTTGATTTTGTACCTGTTGTTTCGCAAAAATTTGCACCGAGCCACTCTGAATCATGCACTTCCCCAGTTGTTTTGATTTTTAGGGAAAATTAAAGCTGGTGGCTTTCCTTTGTAAATTGAAGTAAACGAAACTTGTTCTATAAACAACACTGAGGGTCTGGTCCTGAGCACTGCTTCTACAGGCACGTGGGAGGCACAAGCCTTTGCCGGCACCTACCTGTTACCAGCAGACTGGGTGCACCTGGAAGCCTTTGGAAAGGCTCCGTGATGGTGGCAGAAGGCTGGCACCAAAGGACCACTGGGGAAGACTGAGGGGCAGCTCGGCGCCCTGCGCTCTGGTGAGGATGATCGCAGCCTGCTGAGGCCAAGCCCCTGGAAGCCAAGAGCAGAGCCTGCCCCTGGGTGAGTGCAGCACGAGAAAAACTTTCATTTTGCACACAGTTATCTACTCTGGCATTGCACCTCCTCTCAACTCACGGCTAGGGTGCAGGGCAGATCTCTGCTGTCCTGTGTTCATCCACTTTAGGAAACTTCCTGAATAAGCTGTCAGGATGGGAAGAAGGGATTTCTCTCACCACTTCCAAATGCCTGTGTGTTATTTTCTACTTAGACACGTATCTAGATTAAGTTACTTCCTATCTCACTGAATCTTCCTTCTGTCAGTGTGAGCCCCTGCTGCCTTCTCTTCCTAAGGTAAGTGATTCATTCTCTATGTCCATGAGACTCTGTCAGACACTTACTGAGAGGACCTCAGCAGAAGGCTGTTCCCAGTATAACCAGCCTCTCCCCCTGCCTGACATGCAAGCAGCATGATTTATGGCCATCAAGCAGAGCTTCTTCAGCCCCCAGCTGGCTGGGCAGCAATCTCGGAGCCACAGGCTGCCATTTCCTTTACAAACAAGCCCCAGTGCCCACCTAGGGCTGGGAACAGCAAAGCAGGTGAGCCACGAGCCAGCCCCTTCCCCACAGACTTGTGAATCCTCCATGTGTTTTGGTGAGCAGCCTGTTTCAACAATGTTTGCGGGGAGATGGGAACGTACACGTTCCCATGAGCCTGCCCTTTGTGGCAAACCACCCTGTTGTGAGAGAGCTGTGCGCCTTGTACCAAGGCTGGGGGCTCACCCACAGCCAGCTGCCTTCCCTCTCACAAACACCAACCTCCATAGCAATGTCGTTGTGAATTGTGCTCTTCATTTAAAGTGGCTGCCGGTCCTTCCTTGCCTATAGAATATACCCTAAGATACCTTGAGCACCTGTGTGAGCTACATCCAGTCGCTGTTCCCAGCTAAGAAAGTGTGCTGTACAATTGTTGTGTCAGGTTACTCCTCCCTGGGATAGTTAGACCCCCTCCAGGGGATGCAGCCTGCCCCAAGCTCTTCTCCAGGTCTGGTGAGAGCTGTTCCAAGCACAGAAGGAGTGGTAGCTCAGGGTGTATGACTAGTTTGGGCTGTGTTTGTCAAGTCCAAATGATAAAAAGAAACAGCGATTACAGTGAGGAAATAAATGAATTGAAAACCAATTGTTGTCAATCAATAGTTCCTAGATGGATATGGCCAACACCCTCTCTGGGCCATGAATATGGGTGCGTGTGTGCAGGAGACACCTCCACGTATGGGAGGATGTATCAGGAGAGGGTAAGGAAGAAGAAATACATGCAGGTAAAAAAATAGAGTGCTAGATTAATTTTTCACAGAGAACTGACATAGCACAAGGTGACGTAGAAGCCTAATTACTGTTTGGTCATCAGACTTTTCAATCAGCAAAAGCAAATTAAACCTTTTAAAAAGCCCAAAACAAACCAAAACAATGGCTTAAGGGTCTCATCTACCCTGAACTCAGACCACAGTACAGAGCAGCTTTGCAGTAGCTGTAAATTGTAGCAATATTCAGGGAGCTGCTCTTTAAATCGTCTGTTATTAGGCTTCAGAGCTAACTCCCATTTATGCCAAGAGCCAGTTCATAATTCTTGTGGAATAATTATTATGGACTGTATAGCAACAACCTCTGTTACATTGGCAAATTGCTTGGAGTCACCGAATCATTCTTTCTGAGCTAAATATTTATGAAGACAGCTGCATTGGCTCACACCCAGAAGTTTGCTGCAGTTGCTATTATCACTGGAAAGAAAAATCTTTTTTTTTTTTCGTTTTCTTTTTTTTCTTTAAACCTGAGAACATGAGTTCTGTGAGGATTGCTTGGGCTCTTCAAAGAGTAGACAGGCTGGTTATGAGATGCTCAGGCTTAAAGTCAGTGATGCAGCAGGACTAGCTGGAAAGTAAT